GCTCCTCACTGACGTCCGCATGGCTTCCCCTGTGCCGTAGGGCTTGGAGCTGGGAACTGTTGGGGTTCAGCGGTGCTGCTGCTGCCCCGGGAGGAGGGTGCTGGTGGTGACCCCCCATCCGCAGGCTCTGGCTGCCAGGGTGCAGGGGGCTGGCATGGCAGTTGTGCCGTCTGGGTGGGAGCTGGGTGCTGGCAGCGTCCCCAGGCTCCTCCGCTCCTCCCCATGCACGGCCAGGCCGGGCAGCGCTAGTGGAAGGGGGCTGCCGCTGCTCTGGCTCACAGGGGCCGAGGCCACGGCCCAGGAGGGCTCGGCTGCATCCTGCACAGGGAGGCAGCGGGGAGCCGGTGCTGTGCTTGGAGAGGTAGCACAGGGCTCGCTCCTGGAGTCTCTCTGGAAGAGGAATGGGCAGGGATTGCAGGCAGGGGTTGCAGGCAGGGGGAGAGGGCTGAGCCTGTCAGCACCAGGAGCTGTCTTGAATTTGGGGAGCTCTGTGCTCACCCAGTGCTACGCTCAGCCATGAAGGACCAACGTGGGTCCCTGCAACTGCCCTTCATGTGAGTGCAGCCACCACCAACAGTCCCCTGGGATGTCCCAGCGACCGTCCCTGCGCTCCCGGGGCTTGGGCAGAGCCTCCTCCAGCAGGGGCTGCAGCGCCCTGGCCGGTGGCCCTGGCTGAGCCGGGGCCAGGCTGGCCCTCGAGTGGGTCCTGCCATGCGCGTGTCCATCCGTGAGTGTCCCCACCGCGCCGTGCCGGGCTCCATCCATCTCCCTTGCCTGCATGCGTGTGGCGTGCTGCCCCCCGGCAGCGTCTGCGCCTTGGTTTTGAGGTTGAAATAAAGCACTGAGTATTTTTGTGAGGTCTCGGCAGACTCTATGCCACTTCCACCCAGCCCGGCCAGTACACGGCCCCGGCACGGCCAGCGGGTCCCATCCCTTCTGGGGACCCCGGGCCAGGGTGGGGGCTGGGCTGGGGTGCAGGACGTGGACCCCGGGTGCTGGGGGTGGAGTGTGGAGGGCTGGGGCTGGGGCGTGGGATGCAGACCCTGGGTGTTGAAGCTGGGGTGCAGGACATGGACCCTGGGTGCTGGGGTGTGGGGTGCGGATCCCAGGTGCTGGGGTGCAGGATGCAGATCCCTGGGGCTGGGGTGCAGGACGTGGATCGCTGGGGTGTGGGATGTGGGTCCTGGGTGTTGGGGCTGGGGTGCAGGACATGGACCCCAGGTGCTGGGGCTGGGGTGTGGGACGAGCCCCGGGTGCTGGGG